TGGTTAGGGTGAGGCGCATTCGGAGGACGGTGTGTGTGTGTGTGTGTGTGTGTGTGTGTGTGTGTGTGTGTGTGTGTGTGTGTACATCCTTGTGCAAACACCAGTGTTATGTGTGATGAAAGAATGCATTTTCACAGTTCCGGTAAAGAACCGGTGGGAAGGTTGATCAAATGTGCGTAATCCTGTTTGTCACTTCCTAGTATTACCGTACAGGAGATTAAAGGGTACCTAAACCTGTTTTCAACAAACTTTCCAAGCTCATTTCAGTTGAATTTTTCTAGGCGAGATCATAAAAAGTGCGTGAGCTGCCAGAATTAGCACACGGTCACTTCAGTGTGATGGAGATCCACCTTCACTCCCTTTGTCTCAGCCCGTTCCAGGAGAACGGAAGGCATTTGAGGCACACCCCCCAACCCGCCCCTCAAAGCGCATTTCATGCTTTTAATTGACACCGCTGCATGTTAATTCGAAGCATGTCACGGATGTGTCACACCAGTAAGCCGCCAGTGTCCGACCTCATGTAATGTCGAATTACACTCCTGCTGCTCATCGCGTGACAATAGATAAGCTTCTCCTAGGCAACGCCAAACGGTTCAAACAGTCGTGTGGAACTGAAGTAGTTTCTGTTATTTTTAATTTTAAATTTTTTTTGTCTCACGCTTCCATCCTCCTCCCACGTCTACTGTCAGCCACACTCAGGCACAAAACTACAATGTTCTATGCAAATTAACATTTTCTTTTTACTCAGGAAGTTATCTCTTTAGCTGGTTTCAAGAGTGGGCAATGAAAGACTACATCTGTAACGCCAAACACAAATGACCAAAAGCTCAACTACTTTTCACTGCCACGATAAAACAGGTTAAAAGAGGCAATATCATGTAAAATCAACTTTTTTGAGTTTTATTTAATATAATATTATCCTGTCATCAAAAACATGCCCAGAGTCTTACTTTGACTCATTCATGCATGTTTGAGAAATCCTGTAGTGTCCTGAGGCAGCCAGACAGGGGAGCAGAAACAACCGGTTGGGACTAGAACCACCCTTTGGGACCAGCGCCTCCTCTGGGCTGTGTCTCCAAGCTGAGCTTCCTCATCACAGAGCACACACACACCCACCCGAAGCATGCGGAAATGGGCGGGACAGAAGTGGAATGAGGTTCTTAAAGAGACAGAGGCCAATTTCAAGGCGTTTAGAAGAGGAAGTGATGAGAAGATAAGTTTATTTTCTATTTAAACATATAAACAACATTTTAATAACTACTGAAGTTGACATAGTTGCTTTTATAATGGTGTAGAATTTAAATATATGCCTGAAAAACACACAATATTGTCCCTTTAACCCTTCTGTCGTCTTTGGGGTGAATTTGACCCCATTCAATGTTTATCATTCAAAAAAATTGTAGTTAACTTTTTTTCTTTTGCTTCATATTTCATGACTTTTCCTAATTTGATGGGGACAACTGATAAAACATAAAATTTTCATGAGGATATTTTTTCAATGTGCTGAACACTTACTGCAAGCATTAGTCGTCCTCAGGGGTCAATTTGACCCCAAGCTGTTTTAGCTGTTAAAACGTGTCTGTCAGTGTGTGTGACCTAACATGACCACACCTGCAGGTGCAGTTGATACATTTGAGTTGATATATTTTGTTTTATTTATCATTTATTTTGATACTCACTGCACCATGGGCATGAGTGTGTGTGAGTGTGACATTGTGAACTCACACCTGTCAAAGTAGAACTGCTTTTTCCCGCACTGTGGAGGGTGGGGTATTCCTTCAAGGACATTGGTAGTTCATGCAAAATCAGGGAGGAGCAAATATAAAAGCTTGCATCTCGGTCCTCTATCCAAATCATTCCTCATTGTGCTCTGAGTTTACTGCAATCTGCACGCGCTCTCTTTGAAAATGTCTTTTGGGAAAAGGTTTACTGTCAAAGATGTTTTGGAACAGCTCTTGGACAGTGGAAGTGACTTAGAGGAGATTGTCTCTGAGACAGAGGACTGCGTTCAGGTGGACCCTGATACTGAGGAATTCTCATCTGATGAGAATGAGAGTGTTGACCCTCCTGTTGTCTCTCAACCACCTGCAGACATGATCTCTTCCAAAAATGAAAAGATACTATGGTCCCTTTCTCCACTGAAACAGCAGGGTTGACGTAACGCTAGTAATATTATCAAAATGGTTCCAGGATCCACCAGATATGCAGTCAGCCATGTTGATAACATCAAGTCATCATTCGAGCTCTTCGTAACACCATCTATAAAAATATTGTGCTTGGGATGACAAATTTAGAGGGGAAGYGTGAATATGGGGACAGTTGGAAAGACTTGGATGCAGATGACATGGTCATTCTGTGAGAGTCATGAATGTGCTCAACCTGAAAGTTATTCTGATGGTGGGGCTACAGTTAAGGTCCTATCCATCATCACCAAAATGAGACTTGTGGTCATTAATGTTGAGAAGTAAATTTGAGAAGATTTGTATGAAAAATTCAAGATAAATTGATTTTAATTTAAAGGTTTGGCCTGATGGTGGCGCTAGAGTACAGGTCAGCTCACTGATTTTCAAGTGGTTATTTACGTATTCAACAAATAAATGTCACAAAAATGTGGTCAACAATATTCCGTAAATCATTTTCATGAGGTAAATATCCCTGGGGTCAGATTGACCCCAAGGACCAAATTTGTTATTATATTTGAGGACGATAGGAGGGTTAAAGTAACTTGACTGTGTTAATAAAGGGTTGGCTACCTATTTATTTGCAGATAGTTTTGAGTAACTCAGCAATGGTTTGAGACTCTTTTGAGGACAATCCACATACCTAAAGCCAGGAAGCAACACATGTATGATCCTTCGCCTGCCACCTGGCTCGTTAAACACCTTGACCTTTCTCCCTGCAGGTGGTGGGCCTATGTAGAGGGGACTTCCTGTTGCTCTGCCAGATTTGACTCAAACAAGCTCCTGCTCCCAGGCCGGACTACATGAAGGTGCCCCTGTTAGGTAATGTGTTTCTTTTTTGTCTTCTTTTATTAAAGTCTTTGAATCACATTTAGGCTTGATTTATACTTGATAAGAAGTGCCCAAATTGTGTCTCACCCATGTGGTTGCATGACAAATATTGTGTCTTGTTTGTGCACTGCCCCCAAGAAAACTGCTTTGTGCGTAGCCCCATCACAGCTTTCTACATTGCAGAGAATGCACCAAGCATTGTGTGATTGGTCAGAACTTTCTGGGCATATTTATGCAAAAAAAGCAGCTAAAATACTGATGGTTTTCAAAGCAACTGAGGTCCAAACAATTGGGTGAGCAGATTGATCCATAAAATATTAACACTAACCTTGAGCCAAGCTGTTTAACTCTTGTAGCTCCACAAGTCTTCAGCTACAGAACAGAAGTCCAGTTGATTTGTCTTTGTTCTTTTAATTTACCATGTCCCGGATGACTGAGAACCCACAGAAAGAAAGTTACTTGATCAATACTTTACCTCCAACATGTCGCTTTGTTCCAAAACATAAAATGCTGCACCAGAGCGTCTGGTCAGAGGCAGGTTCAGATACAAACACTGAACAAAACAAGCAATTTACAATTTAACTGGCTGATTGCACAACAACTTCAGATCGACATGCTAACATGTAGCATCCATGTTTAGCTACTTTTATAAACAACGAGCTGAACTTGACATCATGTCATCTTCTGCACATGCAGGTCCCATCAGAGCTGTGCAGAGCTCACACTGGAGTCAGATGGAGGCCACATTTAACATATAATGTAAATATTCACACAAAAAAAGTATTTCTTGTAAATATCAGAACTGAGCATCTGCCACTTGAATTTAGCCCATGGGTCCCTGTAATGGACTTGCAACTTGTCCAGGGGGTTCCCTGCCTCTCCCTGCTGAAGATAGGCACCAACTTGTCCCTGACCCTGTATGGAAAAATGGATAAAAATAAGTACAAAAGAAATGAACAAATAAAACTAATGGGAAC